GGAACATATACTTTGGTGCTTATATGTACATATCTGAAGAAAACACAGGAAGCTGGTAACTATGGTTGCCTTTGGGGAGAAAAATGGAGGATAGAGGTCAGGAAGAGTATGAAGAACTGATTTTTCTCTGTACACCTTTTTGTACTATTTAAATTTATTTTCCATGTTCATGTCTAAAAAACACTTTTTAAGGGAATCTGTTTACTTATTCAACAAATAGTTATGGAGTCTGCAATGGGTGTCAGACATTGAGGGAATGAGACAATCGGGCAAGGGCTCACACCAGTCCGGGCCCTCAAGGAGCAGAATGTCACTGGGAGGTGGATAGGGTGAGCCATATAACCTGTCATCAGACTGAGACACCATTAATCGAACATTAAGGCAAGGGTATAAACTGGACCGTCCTGGGCAAACTAGGACGTTTGGACAGCCCAGACTTAAGATGAGACTCAGACATAACAGAACACAGGGCTGGAAAAAAAAGAGGCATAAGAACTGTGGGAGAGGAAGATGACAAGTGGAATCAGGGAAATTTCATGGAGGAGGCATATTTGAGCAGAATCTTGAAGGATGGGTGGGATTTAGACGGTAGATTTAGGGGAGAAGATGGGCAAGCTTAGGGTATTTGGTAGGTAGAATTATAGCCCCCAAGAAGATTCCACACCTTAATTCCCAGGACTGTGAATATGATGAGGTAGCACACCCATGGCTATATCGCCTTCCATGGCAAAAGGGACTTAGCACATGCAATTAAGGTTACTAATCAGTTGACATTAAGATAGGGAGATTATTCTGGATTATCTGGATGGGCCTAGTGTAATCACATGAGCCCTTAAAAACAGAGGCAGAAGAGGAAGGCAGCAGAAGTCAGAGAGATTTGAAGCGTTAGAGGGACTTGATGCTCTGTTGCTGGCTTTGAAGATGGAGGAGCCATATGACAAGAAATCTGAGTGGCTTTAGGGAGCTGACAGCCAGTAAGGAAATAGGAACCTCATCCCACAACCACAAGGCACTCGATTTTGCCACAGCCTGAATGAATTTGGAGTGGATTATTCCTTCAACCTCCAGATAAGAACCCTGCTGGCCAACACCTTGATTTAAGTCTAATGAGATGAGACTCTAAGCAGACAACCAGCTGAGTCCCCCTGAACTTCTGACATTCGGAAACGTGAGATAATATACGGGTGTTGTTTTAAGCTGCTAAATTTGTGGCAATTTGTCACATAGCAATACAAAACAAATACAAGATAAATGAATAATTTCTTTTATAAGGATCAATACAAAGCTGGTTCCTATGAAGCAGAAGTTAAAGATGTCCCAAGTATCCAACTTTTCCAAGCTGCTGTGCTACTCCATCATCCCTAATATCAACTACTCCCTCTCCCCTCAGTACTCTCCCTCACTGCAACGTCTCACAAAACTCATGAATCATATAAAGGAAATGGCTCACGCAGTTGTGGAGGCTGGCAAGTCCCAAATTTGTGGGTCAGGCGTAGGCTTCTCCCTGGCCCTCAGTCTCTGCCGAAAGGCACTCGGCTTCTTACTCCGAGGCTGGGAAGCCCAGTGCGCCGTCTCCTGCCAGTGTCTCCTTCCTTGGTGGTGGTGGGCTCTTCTTTCCCACCTCTGGGGTGGCTCGTTTCAAATCCAGCAGGATGGTAAAACTGACCAATTCCCTTGGTGGGCCACCATTACCCTCTCACACAGTCTTGCCTAATCACCCTGGTGGGAGTTACAAGACTATGGTGAGAAAGGCCACACGAAAGCAATGCATTACACCACACAAAGTATTCTAGCTAGGGAAAAGAATAAAATTATTTATTGTGGGGAGTTGCAGTCCTGAACACAAATACCTACAGGGACCCAGCAAAGCAGCCCAGCTTGAGAGAACTACAATGCAAGCTCAATGATAGATTGCCACCGAAACTCAGCCTCAGAGTCAAGGAGGCAATGAGGAGGGTGGTGTCCACCTGGAGCACTCACCTGTCCACCCAACCCAACCCCATCCCACTCTCAAGCTGTTGTCTGGCAGGAATAGAGGGTTGGTGAAGCCAAATATCCCAATTTTTCAAGAGAGTCCAGAGATACAATCTTTTATATTAAATTTCCTAATTCAGACTTTCAAAACACTGTGATGGTCAACCTTGTGCAGACCAAACTCATCTGAGCCAGATGTGATCTTCTAGGGCATACGCTGAAGAGGGAAGGCAGGAAAGGTCATGGAGCTGAGCCTGAGTGCTTTTGAGAGCCCTAGATGTGGACTTTTTCAGGAGGCAGTGGAGAGCCAGTGGAAGTCCCTCCTTTTCCTCTCATTTAGAAACGAAAGGGAACACATTTACGGAACACCAGTCTCCCGCGAGCTACCTAATGGAGCTCCCCAGCAATCTGTCGTGGTAAGGGATACTGGCCCCATTTCTGGGTGACTACATGGATGCGAAATGGTGACCCTGGGCTCAAAACGAAGTTTCTGATTCTAAAATCTGAGTCCTTTCAGCTTCCCCATGTGGCACCCCAGTATTGAATGTTTTTGTTTCTTTTGATTGAAAAGGAGTTTACTGTCGAAATTCCCGTGACCTGGGCTTTTCTCCTCTCCTTATTCAAGGTTTCTGCGCTTCAATCTCCCGAGTTCCCACTGTGGTGGCTGGCCACTCCTTCCTACATCCCAGCCTTTGGGGTTCCCTTCTTACTGCTCACTTGTAGCCCAGTCTACAGGCTTCCTAGTTCCAAATTCCTGAAAAAGGAATCTAATTGGTTCAGGTAGCTTTTAGGGGGTGGGCCTCTCTTGGGTAACACACCAGCTCAGGAATGACCCTTTGTAATCCCTCCCCTCCAGCCCTCAGCACCCACTGCCAGGTCTCTAGGAAACCTGTCTCAGGGCCAATCAGCAGAGGCTGTGCTTGACACGTGGAGTCAGCTGGACTACTCAGATAGCAGGGGCTGGGGCTAGCCATTTCCCTTAAAAATGAAATACAGGCACAGCAGCATCCATCATCTCTTTAATCTTTCTGAAGCCTCTGAGACATCCACAGCCGCCCTGGGCAGAGAGCATGGCTGGAATGCAACATACATCATCTATTTAATGGCCCAGGTGAGAAAAGAAGGCTGGGAGTGCACCAAGTCAAGACACGTGCGTCCCCATTCACAATCCCCCAGCGGTTTCTTACACAGCATAAGGACGAGCTGACACGCAGAGGATGACGTTCTGTTAGCAACAAGCCCTCACTCTGTCTTTCTCTAATGTGGAGAACGTCGAAAAGACTCGGAGAGATGAGAGAGGAGGCTGGAAAGCGACATACGGTGAGATCAGAGGACTCATTTAGCCGGGAGGAGGATAGAGCTATAGGGTCACCTTCAGGAATGCAACTGTACAAAGCCCACGTTTTGAATAGATTGCCGCAGTTTAAAAAAACAGTTTCAAGAAGCTTAAATTGACACATAATAAACTGCATTTGATATATAAACATGTATAATTTGATGTTTTGACATACATATACCTATGAAGCCAATCGTTACCACAATCAAGATAATAAACATATCCATCACCCCCCAAGTTTCCTTGTGATCCTTTGTCATATTTCCCTCCCCTTCTTCCCCACCTCCATGTCCCCATCTCTTGGCAACCGCTGATCTTATTGTGTCACGACAGGTTGCATCTCCTAATGTTTTATATAAATAGGATCATATACTTGTTTTTCTCTAGCTTATTCACTCAGCATAATTATTTTGAGATTCACCCATGTTGCTGTGTGTATCAATAGTTCATTCCTTTTATTGCTGAGTAGTATTCCATTGTATGGACATACCACAATGTATTCCTCCATTCACCTTTGATGGACCTTTGGTTTATTTCCAATTTAGGGCAGTTACAAATACAGCTGCCACAAACATTCACCTATATGTTTTTTGTATGGATATATGCTTTCTTTTCCCTTGGGTAAATACCAAAGAATGGAATAACTGGATTATATGGTAGGCATGTGTTTGAGCATGGCAGTTTTGGTATAACTGTCACATGGGTTTCACAGTGTCCATACTTTATATATTTCACCTACCAGGTAAAGGTACACATAGATCACATGGGAACCAGTGACATACATACTCACCCATAAGGAGGTCACATCAGGCTGCAGCCAGCTTCATCCTAGTCTTCACAAACAATGTGTGGAGCAGGCTCCCAGAAGGGAACATCTCCCAGGATGACCTTTGATTTTGTAACATGCTCAATGTGCAAGCTCCTAACTGCACTGAAGCTTCAGAACTGGCTCACTGAAAAGGGCTAATCTGTCTCCAGGAGAGCCTTTGAATAGTGGTAACATCTCGTTGGTCTAGAACAGAATAATCATAGTCATCACCTGGGCTTTCACCAGCCTTCCAGGTGATTCTAATGCATGCTCAAGTTTAAGAACCACTGGCCTAGAACATCTGTAAAGAGCCCTTCAATTCCCCTGGATTCTAAATTAAATCCATCAGAAGTTATGATACACCGAGAGCATCACTCTCTCTCCTGCCTGTGTTCTGCATGCAGAGCTGTGGCGCCACCCTCTCTTAGAACCCAGCCACCCTGTGTTAAGGCTCCGTGTAAACCCAAGTTACCAAGTGGAATGCAAACCTCCACGATGGTTGTCATCACTTCTTTCCCCCAAAGCACCACACTTAAAAAAACAAAAGTACAAATTTTCAGGAACTCAATCATGGGAGCATTAAAAAACCAACTGTCATTATCACCCAAATCTCTACGTGTGCATTTCATCCTGCCAAATTATGGCATAAAAGAAGCTAAGAAAAGAAAAAGACAAAGATTTTTGGTGATGAACTCCAACACTCTTTACTGCTCTAGAACCCTCACTGCAAATTTACACATCAGCAGTAAAAGTAATCAAATTTGAATAGGAAGAATTTGAGTAAAAATATTGGATACTTTTTGTTTTAATCTTCAGTTTAAGCATGGTTTCTGCTCGACATAATTGGAGAGAAGTTTTAATTTCCTTGGTAGTTTCTTGTGCTTAAAGCTTAGCCCAGTCTTTGAAAACTCTCTCCAGCTTCTGGCCAAGCAGAACTTTGCCACTCACTTTGAATTTGCCAGCAAGGAACGCCTTCTGTGGGTTCATTTTGCCCAAAACCAACTCCATAAAGATAGGCTCTGGGATTGTGAAGACAGTGTCTGCTGGGAGCCTTGCTGATCCCAGGTACATGTCCCCAGGACCATTCTTTAGGTCAACGGTCCACTGCAGAATGGTCTTCCCATCTTTGGTGATATCTAGCTGAAAGATGGCATTGACTTTCTTTACCAGCTGGGCCCCGACTGTTTTGATGTGACGGCTAATGTCCTCGAACACTGGGAAGCTCTGGAATTCTGACAGCTCTAGGGGGTGTGGCACGGCAGACTCCCCAGCTGAACTCAACATCTTGAACTGGCTTGCCTGAGGTCCGTCCCCTGCTTTGATCTTGGGTTGATGGTCGACTCTCTTCCTCATCTTACTGTGCTTGTCCTCTTGAACTTGCCATCTGGTTTATGAGCAGCTGTGGCCAGCTTAATACCCACAGCCAGATTGTGACATCAAAGGTCAGGCCCTCGCTGGCATTGGGGCTGGTGTGTGTGCTGCAGTCTTATTGGACAAACAAATGTTAAAATGTAACATGGAGCAGGGTCTCAGACAAGTCATTGTGAGGCAGACCCACACCCTGCCCCAAGTCATTCAGGGTGTAGGTCCCACAACCCCAGGAAGGTCTGGACCCATAATGGGAACAGGGAAAACTGGTCCCAGGCATTCTTTGGTGACATGATCTCTGTCTCCAATACAGGCATCCCCCAGGGAGAAACCCTAACCAAGCAGGCAGTTATCCTAATTCCTTTAAATGTGGATGATCCTTAAAGCATGATTCTGGTGCTGGGTTTGGCTTTGTCTGGCTGCTGTTGGAGGGAGAAATGGCTGTATCAGAAACCTTGAAGAAGCACGTTGAGGATAAAATATTTAAAAAGACAGAGTAGCAGGGGTGGGGGCCTGGGGACCATGGTTTCAGGAGACATCTAGGTCAATTGACACAACAAAGTTTATTAAGAAAATGTTCTGCATCCCACTTTGGTGGGTGGCATCTGGGGTCTTAAAAGCTAGCAAGCAGCCATCTAAGATGCATCAATTGGCCCCAAACTACCTGGAGCAAAGGAGAATGGAGAACACCAAAGACACAAGGAAAATATTAGCCCAAGAGATAGAAAGGGCCACATAAACCAGAGACTCCATTCACCTGAGACCAGAAGAACTAGATGGTGCCCAGCTACCACCAATGACCACCCTGACAGGGAACACAACAGAGATTCCCTGATGGAGCAGGAGAAAAGTATGGTGCAGAACTCAAATTCATGTAAAAAGACCAGACTTAATGGTCTGACTGAGACTGGAGGGACCTGGGAAGACATGGCCCCTGGACTCTCTATTAGCCCAGAACTGAAACCATTCCTGAAGCCAACTCTTCAGACGAAGATTAGACTGCGCTATGGGACATAAAATGATACCCATGAAGAGAGTGCGTCTTAGCTCAAGTAGATACATGCGACTAAATGGGCAGCTCCTGTCTGGAGGCGAGATGAGAAGGCAAAAAGGGACAGGAGCTGACTGAATGGACATTGGAAATCCGAAGTGGAAAGGAGGAATGTGCTGTCACATTATAGGGAGAGCAGCTAGGGTAACATAACAATGTGTGTATAAATTTTTGTATGAGAAACTGACTTGAACTGTAAACTTTCACTTAAAGCACAATTTAAAAAAGAATTAAAAAAGAAAGAAGTATCCTACAATCAGCAAAAGATGCTGCTAGTCTCCTATGATAATTGCATATAATAACGTAGCACTTACTCTGAGCCAGCTGTTCTAGGCACTGCACATGTATGAACACATTTAATCCTCATTAAGGCCCTATGAGGTAGGCACTATTTGTATTCTCATTTTTATAGATGAGGAAACTGAGTCAAGGAGGAGTTAAGTGACTTGCCCTAAGTCACATAACCTGTAAGTAGCATAGCCAGGTTTGAATTGAGATAGAATGATTCTAGAGCCCACTTTTTTTTTTTAATTTTTATTTTGAAGTAATTTCAGACTTACCAAAAGGTTGCAAAAATTGATACAGAGTTCCTGTATACCCTTCACTCAGCTTCTGCAAATGTTTACATCTTATGAAACTACAGTACAATGATCTAAACCAGGAAATTAATGATGTTATTAACTAATCTACTGATTTTATTTAATTTTTGCCAACTGTTCCATTAATGTCCATGTTCTGGTCCAGAATTCAGAATCTGGTCCAGCATCCCACATTGTGTTTAGTCTTTATGTCTCAGTAATTGGCTCCAATCTGGGACAGTTCTTTATTCGTTCTTTGCCTATCTTGACCCAGACACTTGTGAAGAATACTGGCCAGCTGTTCTGTAAAACGTCCCTTATTTTGGGTCTGTCTGATGTTGTCTCAGGATTAGATTGAGGTTATGATTTTGTGGCAAGAATACTACACAGGGAATCTTGTGCCTTTCTCAGTGCATCATATAGGGGGAATAGGATGTTGATTTGCCCATTACTGGTGATGTTGACCTTGATCACTTGGTTAAGGTTGCGTCTGCAAGGTTTCTCCACTGCAAGGTTACTATTTAATCTTTGTAATTAATAAGTATCTTGTGGGGAGATGCTTTGAGATATTGCAGAAATCCTGCATCATACTTTCATCCACTGATTTTTGCATCTATCCATGGTCCATGCCTGCAACAACCACTGATGTTTTGTCAAATGGTCATTTTCTATTCCCCTCATTCTCTTTAGGTTTAATAATTGGAATATCATTGTAAGGGAAGCTGTCCCGTCTCCCCATTTATGTATTTGTCCAATTATTTCTTTATATCAGTATGGACTTGTGGATATTTATTTTACTCTGTGGTCATAATCTGTTATTCTCATTATTTATTTCCTTGCTCAAATTGTCCCAGATTTGGCCATTGAAAGCTCTGTCAAGTTGGTACCTGTGTCCTTTCTTTCCTACACCATACTGCCTCTTGTCAGTGAAACAATACTAAATGAAGTTGCTGGTAACTTTGTTCTCCCTGGGAGGCAAGCAGAAGAGTAAAAAAGACTCCATTACATTTGTAATGATGGATGAATGAGATGGTATTATCAACATTGAGCATTTCTTAGTTACCTAGTGTTGCCATAACAAAAAATACTACAAGTGGGCGACTTTAAAGAACAGAAATTTATTTTCTCACAGTTCAGGAGCCTAGAAGTATGGCTTCAAGGCATTGGCTGTAGGGGAAGTTCCTTCTTTGTTTCTTTCAGTTTCTAGTAGCTGCTGCAATCCTTGGCATTCCTAGGCTTGTAGATGCATCTGCCTTCTCCCTGGGTATGTGTTGTTCTGTCTATTCTGCTCTTTTTATAAGACACCACTCAGAAGTGATTAGGTGTAGGATCCACTGTACTCTAATATCACCTCATTAACATACAAAAGCAAACCCCTATTATCAAACAGGGTCATATTTACAGACACAAGGTTTAGGGCTTCAACATAACTTTTTTGGGGTTATAACTCAATCTGTAACAGAGCAGTTAAACAAAATCCAGTGGCCTCCAAAGCTAAGTCTTTAGAATAAGGTCACCAGGTAAGGATAAAGTGCACAGAGAATTTAAAATGAAGAGGCAGGTATTCCCCAGCAAGTCCACTGTGAATAGCCAACAGAGGAGAACTAAGCCCCTCCGACATCCACATCTACTTTCCCTCGAGGGCAGGGTTCTCCCTTCCGAATTATTCAGATGGGTCCCCAATTGGGCCTGTCACTCTCCTGTGTCAGTGTCAGAGGGGGACACAATTCCACAGCCCATACATAATTTAATAAGTGACATTGTTTACAATTGCCAGCACTTAGTAATAATGAAAAGTAGACCAAATTTTGGTCAGTTTTAATTCTCAACGGATACCGCTCCACTCACTGCTGCCCTCCACTGCACTGCGCCCTTACCCTGACTGCTCCACCTCTGTCTGCCTGCTAGAAAACCTACACTCTCCAATCGGAGGTGAACTTCCGCAGCCCACTGAAATTTTTTTCTCTCCAATTGCCGTCCAGAATCAAGAGTCAGTCATAGCAGATTCATGGCTTTTAGCTTCTGGCAACTTCTTTTAAATATTTTAAAGAGTGTGAGAGGCTTAGAGACCTGCTCCTGGAAAAAAAAAAAAAAATTGCAAAGCCATTTTATTAAATAGGATGATTTTAGCTGCAAGCAACAGCTACCATCACAAAAAACCTAATAATGGCTTAACTCCGTAGTTCCAAAGTGGGCTCCCCAGATTAGTGGCATCAGCATCACCTGGGAGCTTGTCAGGAAAGCACATTCTCAGGCCTAACCCCCGAGTGGCTGAGTCAGAAACTCTGAGGGTGGGCCCAGCAATCTGGGTTTTAACAAGCCTTTCATGGAATTCCAGTACATGCCCAAGTTTGAAAACCTATGGCTTAACTCATCAAGACATTTTTGTTCTCTTTACAAAAAGTCTGGAAGTTGGGTATTTTGGTGTCTCAGCAAGGTCAGCCAGTATCTCTCTGCTGTGTCTGCCCCTCCATTCTACCATCCTGGTGTGCTGCCTTTTGTCCCCAGCTTGTCACTTCATAGCCACTTTACTGCAGTAGCACTTTCCACCACGTTCTCACAAGGCAGCACCCCAAACAGAAAGAGGCAAAAAATAGAAACAAAAACAGAACTCTGCTTGGACCTTTTTCTTACTAGAGAGTAAAGGTTTTCCCCCAGAAGGCCCTGAGACTTCCTGTTTGTCTCACTGGTGAGAACTGGCTCACATGACCATCCCTAGACAATCATTGGCGAAGAAGGATGGAATTGCTAGGATCTGCTTAGACCTCTCCAGATACACGCCTCTCGATGAGGCACCCTGCCACTTGAACACAATTGCAGTTGTGTTAACAGGGAAGAAAACAGCAGGGCTGGATGTAGACAACCACGAGTGCTTAATGCAAGTACCTACAGCCTCTTCCAGCAAGCCTAAGAGGGGAACAAGGAAAAGCACACTTCATCTTAGAAAGATTTGTCTCATTACTTTTCAATAATAGATCATGACCCCATTTTGCTGGCCTCCTCGTTGCACAACACAACATGGACATGTTCCTGCTGAAAGTTTACAAACCCATCTCTCACCTGCTGGCCCGACACTAGACAGGTTCATTCACTCACACTCAAATAGAATGTGAGAGTGAGATCAGGAGTATTACCCACCCCTCTCCCCGGAATGGGAACAAATCTGTGTCACCAGGGTCACTCTTACACTGAGGACCTCGGACGAGAAGGCCACACCTTATTGTCATCAGATACAGGGAGGGAGAAGGACCTCCACTTTCTCCTTTATGTCTTTTGCTTTTGTTTGTAATGAGCGTGCACTATCTCTGTTTTCTTAGATCAAATACAATTTTTTTCAACATCTTACTATGAAAAATATCAAACATATTGCAAAGTTGAAAGATTTTT